CACAAGTACACAAGGAATCCCACATTTTCTTGGAAAGGTAAAAAATGAGCTGATGAGGCCAGTAAAAAGTAAATAAATTAAGAGCTGGAATATTTCATTTAGCTCGTGAAACCCAAAATATAAGAAATATTTTTCTTTATATAGCTTTAAGGACAAGGGAATCAAAATTAGCTTATTTTGAATCGACAATGGCATGTGGTCTTGAAGCATGGCTATAACGAATCAAACTTTCTTGCCGATTTTTTGGCCTTGCTTGCGGGCCACGGGCCTGGTGGTTTTCATTGATTGGATAATCCTCTTTCTGGAGCAAATATTTGGTTAGATCATGATGTGATAGGAGTGTCTTATTCTCGAAATGTATTAATATCGTCCTAGTTAGGTTTTGCCTCATTCTCTTATATTGAAAAAAAAAATTAGCTTATTTTCTTTTAATTTTTATTTGTACATTTGCATGATAAGGAAAAAGAAAAAAACTGTAATAATTATTCTTCCTACCCCCAACGAAAATGTCCTTATTTATATATTTTTTTATTATTATAGTATAGAAAATTCATGAATAATGAGATTGGCCATTAGGTATTATCCAAGTGAGCTTGAAAAATCCAAAATTTAAAGCAATTCACGCTTCAAACATGTTACTTTTTTTTTTTTTTTAACACAAATTTGTGATATAAGTGAAGAAAAATCCAAAATTCAAAGTACAGTAAATGACAGCGGTATATTCAGGTCCTTACTTTAGACTTTCACATATTTGATAATCAAACATTAGGGAATATTGTGAACAATTGAGGGACAGTTTTTTACCTTATAGGTGAAATTTTTGGGAATATAATAAAATCAATTGTGTGAATAAAATGGCCATAGGTAAAATTATAAGATAAAAAATGGGAAGATTCTAATTTAAAAATGATAAAGATCTTGATGTCGCTTAAGCAATGTCTCAGGTTCGAGTCCTTATGGATGCAGAAAACTCTTGTTGGGAGACTCACCCACCATTGCCAAGTGTGCGACCCGGTTCGACCAACAGATTAGTCGGAGCATAGTTCCGGATACCGTGGCTGGCTACCAAAAAAATAAAAAAATGATAAAGATACTTTACCCAGCTTTCAATTCCACTTTCCTCTCTTCAGTTAAAAATTATTGTTTGGGGCAAACATAAAAGGGGGCTGATGGGAAAAGTAATCTTTAGATTTTTTATTTATTTATTTTTATTTTTATTATATTTTTTTGGGACTTGTCCTTGCTGAAAATTACTTTTTTCGTTCTTTGTAATATTTATATACTAGTACAACACCCGTGTATTACACGAGTGCTTGTTAGAAAATTATTCTTAAATTTTAAAATTAATGAGAAAATTATGTTAAATTAAGTTTACTTTTTACAAAAAAAATATATTACTATACATTTTAGAATGATATGTGTTACTTATGACTTACATGTATTATATTATATTAGTTTTTATAACTTCATCATATAAGTACTTGAAATATAAATATATTAGTTGATAAATAATTTTATTTTTTAATTAATATTAAAAATAATTTTATTATTGTTATAAAGATAAATATAGATTATTTTTTTATACATACTATATGGATGTTAAATCGAAGCTCATCAAAAGAAGATTAATTTGATATATTACATATTAAAACTGATAAAAAATACAAAAGTTATTAACTTTTAAAATATACTAGTACGACACCCGTGTATTACACGGGTGCTTGCTAATTTTCTTCTTAAATTTTAAAATTAATAATTAATGAGAAAAAGTAGTTTGAAAATTTAAATACCTTTTATAAGAATATATATATATATATTATTATATATTTATTATGATACATTTTATTTGTGCGACTTACTTGTGTTATATTATACTAATTTTTTAACTTACAATATATAAATACATTAAATATAAATATACCAATTGAGAAATAATTTTATTTTTCTAATAAATTTTGATAAATATTATTATTTTTTTATTATTATAAAGATAAATATATTTATTTATTTTATATATACAATATGGATGTCAAATTGAAGATCATCAAAAGATGATTAATTAGATATATTATATATGTAAAACCGATAAGAAATACAAAAGTTATCTACTTTTAAAATACATTTATATTTCAATAGCTTATTGAAGGAAGCAAATCAAAATTTAGGGATATATTAGTCACTTAGTACCTCACTTTGTAAAATTACAAAAAATTAAAGGGTTATATTAGTAAAAGTGATATTAAAATACCTAAGTTAGCTAAATAATATTTATGGAATACCCGAACCTAGATTATTAATTATTAATAATTAATATTATTTGTCCAAACCTAATTACGAAGCATGATTCTTCGCCAAATAGGATTCCGAAGCACCAGAAGCAGCCACGTAGGCTCAGCGCATTCGGGAATTATATATAGGGAGGATGTACAATTCAATAGTTATAATAAGGAATGATATTGAAATGCAATTAATACATGTAACATGACCATAAATAATCAATATATTTATGGTAATCCGAACATAATTATTTTTGGTTTGGAATTAAATTAAAATTTATCCAAACCTAATAACGAAGCATGTAATTTTGCCATATAGAATTTCGAAGCACTAAAAGCAGCCAAGTAAGCTCAGCGCGTTCTGAATTAATATACAGAGATATCAAATCTATGAGAAGAAAGGTTGGTAAGTCCTTTGTTGCCAATTTACCAACCAGACTTATTCGCCAGAAGGAATCCTCTCAAATATAAATTTGCTATTTTTAAACTCCTTAAATGAATTTGTGGAGAGAATTATAAATTGTCGAGCTCGTACCGATTGTGTTGATGTGGTGGTGAAGAATCTAAATGGAGAGTCGTACTCGCGGACGGTGTAATCATCAACGGTAGAATAAAAAGTGGATTTTAAATGACAATATTTGAGAAGTCTTTTAAAATTCTTCAAATAATAACTAAAATCTATATCTAGCTTAATTTGAAATCCTCCAATTTCTCGTGGCATCCCAACATGCATTGAGGATTTGAACTTGTAAATTTAAAAACTATATATTTTAAATCCCCTAATAATTCTCACAATTCAAACATAGCTTTAGAGTACAATGATAACCAAAAAAAAAAAAAAACGTTGATTGTGAGATTCGAAACAATTAAAGTTAGTCATAATGGACGCGCTAGTGGTTTATTTTTTATTTTGTTTTTCAAAACTAACTTTGTGTGAGTAAGAAATAATCTATTAAAATTAGTCATAATGGACGCGTAAAACGTTGATTGTGAGATTCGAATAATGAATTGTCCTCTCACAACAACAATAAAGCTATGCACCAAGTGTTGATATTGGTCTCGACCATACGCGCGCGCGCCCGCCGACCGGCTCGGGTCGACTCACGCTTGGGCACGGGACTAGTCCTTGGCCTTGGAACTTGAATCTTGGTACTTGATAACTAGACCGTGGACGACTGAACTTAGTCGACCTTGGACAACATCTATAGATGGAGTGATGATGTATTAACACTTAAAACAATCAGGTTGTTTTATGACCTAGAAGTCATATAAGTAGAACATAGTTAGAGTTGCAGAATACACGAACAACGGACATACATATGCATTCTTACACTCTATTGAAAGCATTATACATAGTGCTTGTTTATCGACTCTGTTTTAATTTGTCGGAGCTCCGAAGTCTGGTGTGCTAAAACTTCCGAGATGATTGTCCTTGTATATTTAGAGACAAACACACAAAAAACTTTGAAGTATGGTGTGCAATAATTTTTGAGATGATTGTCGTTGTATCTTTGGGACAAGGCGCACAATCCAATTAACATTATATTAGGCTTATTTCTCTTGCAAAAAGGATATTCTTCCCTCGCTTTCAATTTGATTGTAAGTTTCATTTTTTGGTTAATTTAGAAGACTTGAAAAGATTATTTCAGCTCAGTTAATTTCCTATTGTAATTTGCACCCATTTTGTAACACTTGTTTTTTAAAAGTTAGTTTTGTTTACTCGATTTTTACAATCTTCTATAAAGTTTATAGGTTTGTGCATTTTATGTACTAACTTTAGATGTCCCATGGTTTTTAGGGCATTTGGATAAATTAATCCAAACACACTTAATTATAGTGTTTAATATGTTGTATTTTCCATACTAGTATTCGGTTGTGGGCCTGTGGCTAGTTAAATTAGACAATGTTGGGCTTAGCGTGGTCCGTTCCTAAGTATGGGCTTCGAATAATGCAAATCAATGGCACCACTTTGAGCTACGAAGCCCAATAACGATTTAATATATGAAATAGAAATCCAATCTAATTCTGGCGCCAAGATGTTAATTTCCTTCTCCACCCGCGCTGCACTTTTATCGTCTAAACTGTCAGTTGGGCATTTCATCAAACACCTTCCATGTCGTAAATCATCCAACCTCAAACTCAGCCTAATTCCCGCCAGAAAATCCACGCTTTCATTCCCATCCTCCTCCGTCGCCGACACCGCTTTTCCGGCCGCCTCATCCGCCGACGCCGTAGATGCCCCCCACTTCCAGACCTTGAGCTCTCACCAACAGACTCAAATTCGCCTTTACATCGAATCTCTCCTCCAATGGAACCAGGTTTTGTGTACAACTTACGTACTTTTTTACGACCCGTTGAAGGCATTTGATCCTGGTTAATTTCATATTTTATTGTTGTTGGGATTATTTTTGGAGCGTAGAAAATGAATCTCACGGCCGTGAAGGAGGAAAATGAGATCATGGAAAGGCACGTCGAGGACTCGCTGGCCATCTTGAATCCAGTTCGAGAAGCGTATCTGTCCCGTTGTGGCGATTCTTTCGACAAACTGAATGTAGTTGATGTTGGGAGTGGGGCTGGGCTCCCTGGGTTGATTCTAGCCATTGCTTGCCCAGGTAATGTCTGCATTTGCACTACTTGACACTTTTCATGAGTCAATTGGGGCACGCATTGTTTCACGTCTGTGTGTGTGCGTGTGCGTGTGTTAATTTTCTTAGGATTAAAATTGTTGCTTAGGTTGGGAGGTGACTCTGTTGGAGTCCATGAACAAGCGCTGCGTCTTCCTGAAGCATGTGGTCGACCTAATTGGCCTCCAAAATGTGCGAATTGTTCGAGATCGAGCTGAGGTGTGAAATTCTTATTACAATACCTAAGAATTTTTCCTTTTCTACTCTTGTGTACTGTTGTCTTGCGTTTTTGTGAGCTTCTTGCCTATTCTCTAGTGTTGGTTGCTTAATGGAGCTCATTTACGTGAGAGGCTATTGTGTAAAGAAGGATTACATCAGCCCAGTTTACTATCTTGAAAGTTCTCTGAAAAGCTTTGTTGAAAAACTAATGTTGATTCCTATTAGAATTTGGTGAAAAACCCTAGGATTTATTCCCGTTTTCATTGTTTACTTGCATATGTAGTAGAGTAACGCAATTGAATCTGGTTGATGAAGGCCTAATTTGAGCTTTGCACTTCAGTTGCATTTTGTTAGCTAGTAACATGGGGATACTGTTGAATGCCTTTATGTATAAGGTTCAGAAATTGCTTTAGTTTTATGTATTGTTTTGATATATATTCCTTCAGTAAGATGGCTTGTTCTATTGGTCACAATCACTGAAGTTCAAAATCTAATGGAACTGTTATTAGACCTCTATAATATTTTGTACAATACACTTGAGGATGATGTCATGAGCATAAAATATGTTACTGGGTGATTGTCTGATCCTGGTCAAACGGTTAGGAAATACATTTTAGCACTCATCAATAGACCATCAATTTCCACCCATTTACAGGATATCTGGTCTCTAATTGCACTTGTTTGGACTTGAATGGTGTTTTCAAAGCAATGAGTAGGTTGATCCTCACGGCATTTAATTCTTTTACAGCACAGTTTGGCAACTTACTATCGCTCTTTTTTTTTTTTGGTTGTTTCATTCGATTATCATATATTCCTGTTTCAAAACTGGACCACCCTACGTAGGACAGAATGTAGGGCATGGTATTGACTTCAGAGAGAGCTTTGACATTGCAGTTGCTAGGGCAGTAGCAGAAATGAGAATTCTCGGTATGATCTTGTACATGTTAATTGTCTTTCGGCTCTAATTTGGTTGGCATACGAGTGACTAAGTAATTTTTTTTATTTGGTTTGTAGCTGAATACTGTCTCCCTTTAGTTCGGGTTGGTGGTCTGTTTGTGGCAGCAAAGGGTCATGATCCTCAGGTATGTTGCTTTTGCGTTACCGATAATGCCTTTTATTCTACTCCCCATCGATTGCACAAACCAACAGTTTATCACTATCTGTATACCTCTTTGCTTCTGTAGTTGTTTTACTATGTGTGCATTTCAATTTTTGAAGTGCCTCCATACACTGATATAATGTATATAAACATAAGTTTAACATTCGATATATACGCATATCTCGACTTATAAACGCCTTTTTCAGGAAGAAGTTACCAAAGCTGTAAAAGCTATTCATCTGATGGGTGCTTCTCTCCTGAAAACATGCTTTGGTATGTATCATTTTGTTCACTTTTTGGCTTATTCTTCGTCATGACTAATAACCACAACCCAGTTTACATGTGAATATGATGTTTGGCGATCAGTTAAATCTAGATAATCATGTAATTTACTCTTCCAGATTTTTACTATTGAGTCACAACTGTTATATCATTGTCCCTGTAGCCACATTACAGACGAGAATCTGAAGAAATTGTTGCAGTATCTTCACAATATACTTAGGCTCTTAAAATATTCACCAATATGACCCATCAACTGAAACTAATCATCTACACTTAGCCATTTAAAAGTGGACTTGGTTTTTTTCCTTTCAGTCTAAAAGTCATTCAAATGGGAAAACCAAAATTATCTAAAATTATTTAAATTTCTTATGATCTATTTCAGTGGAATCACACAGCAAATATGGACAAAGAACGGCCATTGTATGCCTAAAAGACGGTTCTACGCCAAGAAAATATCCCCGTTCTCCAGGTACTCCATCAAAGCTGCCTTTATGAAGAAGATGTCTGGCTATCTTGCATTATTTAGTTATCATGCTGTGTAACCCTTTTATATTAACAAATTAGAATTATCCTATGTCGATTTGAGTAATCAGCTCCACTTAGTCGGCCACGTTTGCGCTGACATGTTGATCATATCGGGTTTCATCTAGTGATTTTATAGATGTAAAATTAGATTTTGAAGACCAGAGAACCACTGTTTATTAAGAAATTCAACTAATAGCATCACAGAAAGTTATGACCATCTCCAGTCCTTATCTCTACTCTATACTAGAGTTTTACTCTACTCTAGAGAATCAAATTCGGTCTCCAACTGTTCGCGCTACATTTTACTCCACATATATTATTCATAATATTTTAATTTATTTAACATGTCAAAATATTGTTTAACTGGACATATTATTTTACAAAATAAAATATATCGTGATGTTAGATAGTCTTCGCTCCACAAAGAGTTATTATTGTTGTATATTATTTGAGTTATTTTATAGTAATTCAATATAAATATATATTTTTTAAAATATATATGTCTAAAATTAAATTATAAATTTAATTGTACAAACTATGTCAAATAATAAATTTTAAGATAAATCAATTACATATAATATAAAAAAATAACAAAAAAACAAAAATTATAGAGTAATGAATAGTACAGCGCTAGATGTAGCGTGATATTGTTCATAACTCTAGAGTAATGCAAAGATGTAGCACAACAATTTTGTCTCTAATCTAGCGTAATACGCTAGAGTAGCGCAGCATTGAAGCTGCTCTAAGCTGGTGTATGGATAAATATGCTAGAGTAGCGCAACATTGAAGCTGCTCTAAGCTGGTGTTGGGATACAAATTTATCCATTAACTTTTTTTAATTCAAATTTTAACTCAAATTTAGCTCAACCAAACTCTCCTCAATTTTATCAATATAATTAAAATAATATCAACCAATCATCCTCACACTACAAATGACATCATTTTAATTCACTATTCCTACATAATTTTAACTACTCATCATTTTCGATCACCTCTTTCCTATTATTAAATATTATTTTAATACAAACTCAAAATCCTATTCAATTAACCAACAAATCCAATTAAAAATCAATCAAAAACTCAAATAAATTTGTATCCAAGCAATAGTTTGATAAAAAAAGAAAAATTAGAAGTGGTGCAGAATATGAAACATTGGTTGTAGAGATCAGTTCTGCACTTCTTTTCATGAAAGGCACATGGAGAGTACTACTATTCTTCTTGTGGTGACAATTGAAAGGTTTAAATGACATAACCCAATTAGCTGACCATATATAAAATTTACCCAGCCCTATCATATCTGTGCAACAGGACAAGAAAAGGTTTGCCAAAATCCAGTCATTCTGAATTTGTACAGCTTTACCTATCTATAAAGTAAATTAAATTTATGCTCCCCGTTGGTAAAACTATTACATAATCATGAGCTACTTTTTGAAGTGGTTTCTTTGGGTATACATGCTAATGGAATTGCTCACCTACTCATTGTGAACATCAGTCACATGTGAAGATCTCGTGAACTTTCGGCAACTTTTACCGTCGTGTATGTTTCTAGAATCACCGGAGATCATCTGTTCCATTTAGTGTTTCATCTTCTATGTTAATGTAGCAATAATTGAAACAAAAAAAGAATGAAAAAGTAAAAGGAAACACAATTGTACAGGATTGATTATTTTTGGATAGAAATGGTAAAGCCCAAAATCACCCAAGTTGCTCTCTGATGACAGACAATTACACTACTAACTATGGTTTACGTTTTCAACTTGAGAATACACAGGAAGAGAGACCTTCCAAACCTTAATATCACAGTCAAGGCTAGCACTATATAGCATGTACACCTGCACACCATCCGACGAACAGTGATCAACAGATACAGCAATGCACTTAACAGGCCCCATATGCCCTTCAATCACTCCCAAGCAAGAGCGTGTTTTTCCGCTCCAAATCCTCACTGTATTATCAGCCGAACCACTGAACACGGAGTCCAATTCAACAGCCAAACACAATACGGCCTTCGTGTGTCCCCTTAGTGCACTCACCACCTCCATACCACCGGACCCCACATTCGTCCAAACGAATACTGACCCATCGGAGCCACCCGAATATAAAACCGACCCATCTCGGCTTAAAGCAAGCGCATTAACCCCCGAACCGTGTTTTTCTAACGTGTCCACCAAGGTATGCGTTTTTCGGCCTGAATTTTGTTTCCATAATTTGATTTTCTTGTCGGATGATGCCGTGTATAAGTATCCACCTTCCGAAAGCACAATGGCGTTTATCGAGTCGTCATGTGCATTCGCGACTGATTCGAGGCAGTGAAAATCGGCCGTCCTCCAAATTTTGAGGGCCCGATCCCAAGAAACCGAGTAAAGAAGCGATTCGTCTTTCGACAGGGCTAAAGCCGAGACAGTGTCCACGTGGTGGACCCACGTGCAGGTCTTGTGCCTTCTGATCTGCACGTGGTTCTTCGGGACCAGGAGCTTGAGTGCACGGTCTCCGAGCGTCGGGAGTGTGGCGAGTTGCACGAGTTTGCTATCGTTTTGGTCGATTTTCCATACTCGGATTTTGTGGTCTTGATGAGCACTGATGAGTTTATCGGACGAGGCCACAAGGGCCTTGACCGCGCCCTTTCCCGCCAAAATCGTGCTAATATTTTCGTAGTTCACCTCAAAATCACTTGGACCGGTGTTGACATTCCACGTACGGATTTCTCTATCCGAGGAGCCGGTATATAGGAAGTTTCTTGTTAGGACAAGGGACGACGTGTAGGAGTTTTGCCCTTCGATAGTGGCCACGCATTGGTGGTTCATGTTAAGGTGGTGGGCTGGCGAGGCAGGGAAAGAGATAGAGGGCACACTGTGCTGTGGTTCTTGGTACAGGTGATCAATGGCAAGTGATGAAGAGTTGTTGATTGCCTGAGCTAAATGTTTGATCACCTGGCCACATTCTTTTTTTTT